GAGTTATGCTAATACTTCCTTCAAGAATGCTGAGAACTAACTATCCCATATATCTCTTGTTGATTATATTGTTGATATGCCTTCTAGAGCATCTCATATTAGAGAAGAAGAAAATTCTAGTATATCTACTTCTTATATGAAAGAAGGAAAGAGAGTTGATAATATCAAGATTGAAAATCATATAGTTACTCCTGATATGGATCTTATTTTGTCTGAAATGGACTTTCCAAATGGTTTATATGAATAGATAAGAAATTATTGACTTTAGATCAGGGTCGCCGGTAAGAAAGAAAATTTCAAATAAATTTTTTCAACCCAAATTAAAATCATTTAGATAGTGGTTCTTTAAAAACTTTGACATTAATCAATAAACATTCTTTCAAGAAGATTTTTATGATCTTTCTAGAGTAGATAAAGCTACCATGGTATGACGAAATATATTTATAACTATATTTCTATGTTAGAACAAGATTATAAATTATCTGATGGTACAGTTACCAAATTCCTCTTTCCTCCTCAACAATCTTTTTAAGTGAAAAAGATGATAAGACAGTATATTTTACTGCATTTGCGGAGTTGTTTGATGAAAATGACATTGTTATTATTACTTTCAAGCATGTTAAAACTTTAATAGGTCAACACAATTACACAAATGTTTATGTAAGCAATATTCTAGAAGAACATATTCTTTTTTTACATGATAAAATTATCCATTCATGTGTTGAATTGGAAAAATCTAATGTCCCTGATAAAGGAAAAGAGAAGGATACTCCTACTATTCAACCCCCTCCAGAAATTAAGGATTTTAAATTATCAAACCTTGATAATATTGAGAGATTACATCAAGAAAGATTTCAGGAGCTAGATATTAATCCCCTCAAACTAAGTTAACATGATATCACTGATAAGATTCCAGATGAGATTAATAAACTCTGAGAGAAACATGATAGAAAATCGGTTCAAAGGATGTAATACTATCCTAGGTCGACTCCTCGAGATATTCTCTTGGAAGAACAAGAATATTATGTCTCCAATAGTTTTAGTAGCACAGAAATTTATGACTGGACTATTAATGGTTTTACTGATAGACAAATTTATACTATAGCTCATAGAATTTTTATGTATAGTACAATTTGTAAGGCAAATAAGAATTTCGAAAAAGACACAGTCAACATGATTATTACTGATTTTACAAGTCAATTAAAGGGTTGGTGGGATAATTATCTCTCAGAATCCCAACGTATATCCATTTTAAATGTTGTTAAGGATGAGAGTGGAATAATTTCAATTGAAGTATACCCTTTATATCTAACCATTATAGAACATTTTTCTGAAAGATGGTCGGATAATAGTGAAACCATTAGCACTATGCTCCAAAACCTCAGATGCAAAACCCTTACATCCTTTAAATGATACAAGGATGTTTTCCTATCAAGGGTTATGGAATTACCTGAGTGTAATAACTCTCACTGGAAATCCAAATTTATAGATGACCTCCCTGCTTTATTTGCAGAAAGAGTTAGAAAATCTCTTCGAGGAGATGCAGTGAGTACTAATAATGATGATTATACTTTTGGAAAACATATAAGTGTCTGCACTCAAGAAGGTCTCTCTATTTAATGAGATCAAGTTAAATCAACAAACTAAAAGATATCATTTAAATGTAAAACAACAAATAGGAAAATTTTGTGAATAGTTCGCAATTGATATGTTGAGTCCTCTAAGAAGTCTAATAGACATAGAGGGAAAAAAGTTATAAAGAAAAGTCTCATAGGTAGTACAAAAAAAGACGATTAGACAAACGTGAAAAAAATGAAAATGGATTATAAAGATAAAAAAAGAGTTTTATAAGAAAAATAAATCAAATGTTTGTCACAAATGTGGAAGAGTAGGTTCATTATGAAAGGGACTGCAAGGTAAAGTATAAGATTAAAAACCTTGATCTAGAGGATAATATTAAGGATTCTTTATACAAAATCCTCCTTAATTCCTCTTCAAAAAATTTGAGCCCTAATAATAGTGACGAAGAGGAACTCTCGACTAGTGAAGACCTAAAAGTTCTTCATGAAGAAGACTACATGTCCTCATATGAGGAAGAATGTACATTTTGCCAGATTGTCCAACTTTGTAATAAAGATAAGGATGAATCCTATCAGTTGTATTCTCAATTCAATGACTTAAACATCAATGTTATAAGCAATGGCGATTGGGTAGAGATACTCAGAATGATTGATGATCCGATATTAAGGTCCCAAATTAACGACAAAATTGATATATCAACAACTCTACTAATAATACTTGAATTCCTAAAAGAAAATCCTTCTCATAATAATGTTTATAACATGACAGAAGTAAGAACGCAACTAAAACTAGGTCTCAAGGGGATCATATTACCACTACAATTCAAGATTTGATTGAGGAGATTAATAATCTCAAAAAGAAATATCTTCTCTCAAAATAATAATATAATTCTTGATGAGAGAATTACTTATCTAGAAAATAAGGACAAAAATTATCATGGGAAACATGTCATATTTCAAGATGATCCTCCTGATGTTCCAGAGAGTAATCTTCATGACATCCGTAATGAGTCTACTGATAATAATAATTTATTTTTAGAAACTATCAAGTTAATTAAAACTTATAAATCTTTACCCAAAAATTAGTTTCTTTTAATGATTATAGCTTAAAGAAGGATTTTATTGCTCTTATTGATAGTGGAGCTGATTTAAATTGCATTCAGCATGAATCAATTCCTTCAAGATACTTTAAGAAGACTACACATAGTCTTCGTAATGCTAGTGGTCATAAAATGGATATTGAATATAAAATTCCTAAAGCATATATATGCACAAATAATGTATGCATGAATGAAAGGTTTGTTTTAATAAAAATATTTCTAACGAAATCATAATAGGAATGCTTTTTTTTCTGACATATATATCCTATAACTTTATGGGATGAGACTGAAATAACTGGTATTTTTGAAGGAAAAAAATAAGAATAGATTTTACGAAAAAGGGCCTAATATACCCTCGAAGTATTATAAATGGTACAAGATTATCCTTCATCCACCTATTGGCTCTAAAATACCCTTTTTCACCCACCTATTGGCTCCAAAATGCCCTTATCATCCACCTTTGGGTTAAAAATTGATCACTTAATTAAGGTTTCAAATTCAAACTATTTAAATATTTTTTAAAAATACTTGGCGCTCAATAATAGGATATAATTTAATTTATTAATATCATTTATAAGCCAACCCACTACACACTCATTACTAATTAAACCCCACCCAATTAATAAGCCAATTCTAATATCAAAATCGCCCTAAACACTACTAAAACATGACGAAATTATAAATTCCTGAAAATGAAATTCAAAATTATTTGAGTCCGAATTGAAATCCCAATTAAATTTAGGTTGAGTTGCTCATTTAGGAGAACACTTTCAATAACACTCTCTTTCAAGCTTGAATTCGAATTTTATGATTAAAGGTAAAGAAGTAGTACATCCTTATTTAATTCATGCACTTTTTTAAATATAATTTTATAATTTATTATTTGTTTTTAATATTAAAACTTTAATATATATATTTTTTAAAGTTATGTATTAAGTAACATCACACAATTGACACGAATGAATAATTAAGATGAACACAGTTAGACTTATAAGTTTATCAGTAATTTTTAATTAGACAGTTGAATTATATATATTTTCATTGAGGACTTGAGTGTATGATAATCTACATCTACAAATATTTTCGCCTCAAATTTTTAGAAACACTTATTGGAAGTAGCTTTTCTATTGCTGTTGTAGTAATGGGACGGGTTTCATTATTGAGTGTGGTTTAATTAGTAATAACTGGTAGTAGATTGATTTATAAATTATATTAATAAGTTAAATTATAACAGATAGTTGAGAGCCATGTATTAAAAAATATTTAAATAGTTCAAAATTAAAAATCGTTAAATAAGTGGTCAATTTTAAATCCAAAGGTGGATGACAAGGGTATTTTGGAGCCAATAGGTGGACGAGAATGGTATTTTGGAGTCAATAGGTGGATGGAGGATAGTTTTGTACCATTTCTGATACTTCAAGGGTATTTTAGGCCCTTTTTTCATAGATTTATATCTCAAACATTTTCAAAATTCGTTAATGAGGTTAAAGATATGATCTCTTTAAAAAATAAACAAATGAATTTTCTAAAAAATGAGATTATAGTCTTACCATTGAAGAGACGTTACAAAATCCTAAAATCCAAGGAAAGATTGAGATTTTAAAGAATCAATTCTCTCTACAAATATGTGGGAGACCACCCAAATGTGTTTTGGAAAAGGAAAAGACATGTGGTGATTCTTCCTTATGAGGACATATTTTTTGAAGACAATATTTTCACTAAATCAAGACCATGCCAAATGAATTCGGAATATTTAAATTTATGTAAAAAAGATATTTATACCCTTCTTCAAAAGATTTAATGAGACCCTCAAAATCTCCAAGGTCTTGTACTGCTTTTATGTTAATAAACTAGCAGAACAAGAGAGAGGAGTATCCAGACTTGTCATAAATTATAAACCATTAAATAAGGCTTTAAAGTGAATTAGATATTCTATTCCCAATAAAAAAAATTATTAGATAGGCTTCATGAAGCTATCATATTTTCGAATTTTGATTTAAAATCAAGTTATTGACAAATTCAAATTTCTGAAGAAGATAAATATAAGACAGCCTTTAACGTCTCAATGGAGCGATATGAATGGAATATTATGCCTTTTGGATTAAAATATGCTCCTTCACAATTTCAAAAAATTATGAATGAAGTTTAAACCCCTTTATTAATTTTATCATCGTATATAATAATGAGGTTTAGATACACCTCTCGCATACATATCTATATAGTGAGGTTTAGATACACCTCTCGCATACATATCTATATAGTGAGGTTTACATACACCTCTCGCATACTACATGTGGAGTTTACTTAGTCTCCTCGCATATAAAGCATACATAGACTTCTCATTTATACAACATAAATACATAAGAATTAGTCTAATGCTTCGTCCCATATTGAACCATCTAAACGAGTATAAATCTTGGACATAACCAATACAAAGTCAACATGCAAATATAGGCTTAAATTCATATCCAAACGATAAAGAAATGAACAATGTCTTTATAACAATACAACTCCAAAGTTAGAATGTATAAATAGGTAACATCCCCGAACATGAGGACCTACCAACACTTGGAGAAAAGAGTCCAGGTCTTCTTCGATTAGCCTTCTAGGAACTCAATGTCCACAACCTACATATTTGTAGAAAAAATAGAGATATGGATTAGTACACCACTTGTACTAAGAATGGAAACATATGCACATAAAACATCGAACTCATTCCTAAAGAGACATTTTTTCAAAATATGCTAATTTACTTTGAAAAACCCTTTATTCAATCTCAAGAATACATATGAACCACTGATGCACATATTCATCAAGACAAGACCATATATTATAAGACCAACATCATTAAGTAAAGTCAAGTCAACATGTGTAGTAGCATATTATAGCACATAACCCAAAACAACTCCAATATAATGTCATAACAACAAAGCATGTATAATAGTTCATAACATTATAATATGTACAAGACCATTAACCATAACCCATTACCAAGCTTACAAGTGCAATTATCAAGTGAAGTCTCATAACCTCACCCAATCAAGTAAACCCAAAAAGAAATCACAAGCAAATGTCCAACTTCGTATAACATGGCATCATAAGTAGTCATAATCATATTTAACACTATAGACCAATAACATGTTCATAAGTGAAATTAACATCGTATAGGTCATCAACATGTAGAGTTAGCATTAGCAATATCATTAAAGTCATAAAAGCATAAGAACATCATCCCAAGACTTCCCTCAAGGCCACCTAGTGCAATGCATAAGTAGAGTCTCATACCCCTACCTATACTAAGGTGGACCCCTTAAGTCATCCTAGTTAGAGTTCACATTATTGCATTGATTTTACATTCGGTAACAATTGTATTAACCGACATAGACCACATGAGCTAATACGTAGAATCCGGTGTCATGAATCCCTACACCGAGAGAAGGTGGTCTACTTGCCAAGGTAGTACCATAACATGAACATAGCATTCTAGGTGGATCAACTACCTAATATTTTGATATGGGCAACATAGTTCAAGAACTAGGAGACATACTTGAGACCCTTTTTATGCACAATTACATTGAAGTCTCTATCTCATGAGAATCATTGTAAACCTACCTTCCCACATTGGGAAGAGACACCTCTTAAAACTAGTTCACTAGGTGCTAAGCTAATGACCCTTTTTGAAATGTCTTTAAGCCTTTATTAATAATCATAACTTAGTATAGGCCATAGGAGACTAACCATTTGTATATTCATAATCATTAGTTCAATTGGAATTGCATGAGAACTTCCTTTCGATACAACCTTCATATGTGAGATTAACACATTATCATCATCATGTCATAGTAAGACACATAAGTGATTCAAATCAACCTTATATCATTACACCTTAATCATAATCTCACAATCCATATAATCAAGATATTTCAATTACATTCATCATACCACCCCTATATAATCTAATCACAATCAATACTTCAATTGAACATCATCATCAATTACAAGCCAACATAATTGGAATAAGGATTCAAGATCATAGGTCTTACCAACTTATATTCACAAGCCTTCTTCCATGGTCTTACCATTTACCAAACATATTCATCCAATAATATACTTAATAACATCATATAATAGAAATTAACACAAGAACTAAGTCAATTGCGTCATCACTATTCTATTCAACATCAATTCATAACCTAGGGTTAGAGAACTAGGGAAAATACATGATCAATAGGACTAGGTCTAACATGAAGAACTACCCTAATTCAGCACTAATCAATCATATTATATCCATAATAATCAAAATAAACCAAGAACGATACAATTTCAAAGATCAATCTCGGATTAGGAATGAAACCCATGTTTTTATCAACTTTTCTAAATCAATTTGAAAGAACCCTTTGGGGAAAGAAGTCCCAAAGGTGAAGAGTTACCATACCTTATCAGCCCTAAGACCTTCGATCTTGTTCTTCAATGGAGTCTTCATTGGGGAGAGAGGAAGTAGAGAGAAGGAAGAGGATTTGAGTTTTGGGAAGTGAAGTGAGTTAGGTTAGATTAGTGAATGTTAGGTGTTTATTTGGATTCCCTAATTAACATAATTAGGCACCCCTAAACCTTAATTAACCAACTAAATAATTAAAAGAACCCCACTTAAAACGTCACAACAAAACTAGTCCTGACCTACGTGACCCCGACCTACGGTCTGTAGGTCAGTCGACGACCCCTTGCACCCACCGTCCTGCACATCTCTCGATTGTGTCAGAGAATTGATTTTTGGCCATTTTTAAAAAATGGCTAACTGTGGGACAACGGAGCCACTGACGCCCCGTCATCTAGATGATGGCTCGTCGGTTGGCAACCGTAGATGGCTTCTGTCTTTTGGCAGCTTTTGGCCATTTCGGAAGGGTCCTCCGCAAGAACCCTTAGGTTGGTCCTTGGGGATTCGTGCCCCAACTTTTCAACCCTAAACATATTCTAATACATTTTAACACCTTCCTATTAAATTTCATTGAATTTTGTCTCTCAAAACACCATGAAACATGCCAAGGCACACTAACCTCTTATTTCGCAATTAATCGACGTCACGGACGTTCCTTGACGTTTTGACTCTAAAACTTCATAAATGATTTATATACATTATTTTGGGTCCTAAAACATTATTAAAAGGTCTAGTTCATCATGTGAGGCTCTAGATTACATCTTAGACTTTCGGAATATTATAGAAGTATTAAATGAAATAATGCATTGCCCTTACATAGAGCCAATCCTCTAGAAGAATATTGACATTCCATGCATTTACTTATATGATCATAGACTCATGGTCACTGTTCTACCATTTTATTTATCATCATAACTCAAATAATTTGAGTAATTAAAATTATAAAGAAAATGAATTAGCCATATGATCATTTGATCAATTTCCAAATTTGACAGACAATTAAGAATTTGTCAAATGAAAGAATATCGTTAAACATCATAAAAATGGATTAGTACTTCCAAACTGGATGTACAATTTAGAATATTTCAAATGAAATAATATCATTAAATGTCATAAAAGGTTTTATTAACTCTTATTGTAACTTTCAGGTGTGAGTTTTGGTAAATCTGGAGAACAAGAACTTCACTCATGACAACATTGAAAACTTTAAATACATCACATATGATCAAGGTTTAGTATCAAGTAAATGATGTAGGGCAATATAAAAAGAAATGATGACTTATTAAATAAAACAATCTAAGTTTTCACTTAAATCCATGTAGCAACATTGTAACTTTTACCTAAAGAGCAAGATAGATATTTCAGTTCATCGATATTCTATCCTCATCCAAATTGAACAATGGTTTGGCGGTGGATGAAACTGACAAGAATTTAGCAAGCTCGTCTAGCAGATCCGGATGGTCTTTGAGAAGTACGGCGGCCTAGATATAAAAGAAAATAAGACTTTGTAACAAATAAGAACATGAAAGTCGTCTACAATATCTATGTATCCAAATTAAAAATGTTTTATGACCTTACGATACAACTCTTTTGCATCCTTGCGCTCCTTCTCGCACGTGGCTAGAACATCTAGCAAGCATTTGTACTCTTGGGCTAAACATGCCTGCAAGAAATTGTAAGTTAGTAAGTTACGATTTAGGGTTTGTAAAGGAAAAAAAAGTAGACTTTCTATAATTAAAATCATAAGATAACAAAAATGTAACCTTTATCTTGGTCATCAAGCTGACTGCTCGTTCAAAATTTCTCTTGTCTTCATTACTGAGAGTTATTTTATAGCCCTTGGGAAGGAAAGGATTTAATCCCAGGAGCAAAGTAGGATATCCTTTAAACAATCCTTCTATTTTTGCAATGAAACCAACCATATCAATTCTGCGAGGAATATCAAAAACTTAGTCCCACATTAATCAAAACAAGAATTAATAAGAATTATGTCAATAAACAAATTATAATAACAAACCTTTTTTCCCTTAAGTCATTCATAAGAACAAGAAACATGTGATACTTCTCCCTTTTGTTCCAAAACATGTCCTTAATTCTCTTCAAATAACAAAACGCATCATTCATTGTTATATCTGGTTTACCACATTTGTTGCTACTACCTCCTCTCATGCCCAAACCACTTTTACGGACTTGTAATCGACCATATCTAATTGAAAATAAATATAAATACATTAGAACTATATCCATATGTAGTCATTCAAAATTGTTGTTTTAAATATATTATCTCGATCCGACAATGAATAAAGTGGGTGAAATAATGGGAGATCAAAGCTCAAAGTCTAAAAAATATAAATGATAAATTTACATTTAGTTGAAAACATGGTAGGCAAAAGTTATTAGAAATATAGCAGTTGGAGATAATAAGATGAATATTAGAAAAGTCATAGGATACGAGTTACCTTCTCTTTACAATTAACCCTAGATTAAAATGTCACTCAGCCAAGCTGATCAAAATCCACCTGCCCCAGCATATATCTTAGGAAAAACGAAGCAAAACTCTCAACTACAGGGGTTCAACTCAACCTTTGAGAGCATCTTATAACTCCAGTTCCTCTATTGAAAGGAGTAGAACGGATGTCGATAATAGCATCTCAAATATGCTACTAGATATTGAGGCATCAGTAGGCAGTAGTCACGTGAGAGAGAGGGACAAATATGGCCTCAATGTAGATCCTATTAATGTATTAATCGATGACCTTATACACATGTCCGAGGATGATAACAAGAGAATCTACAGACCTTGGTCATACTCTGTTATTATCAAAGTCCTAGGCAAAATAATTGAACCACCAGTATCTCAAAAAAAGTTTTCAATATTATGGAAAGCTACTGAAGAGATAATCTTAATTGATTTAGATCACAAGTATTACGTAGTCAAATTTGTGAAGGAGGAAAACAGCTAGTCAGCATTTCAGAATGGACCCCGGTTCATTAATGTATACTTCCTCTCAGTTAAGAGATGACATCCAAATTTTGTCACCTCATAAGCAAAGGAAAATTTCTCAGCCATATGGTTACGACTACCTGAATTCCCCACTGAATTCAATCTTAGCCATGAGTCTGAAAAAAAGTAGGCAAACTAGTCAAAATGGATGTGTGCACATCAACCACACTAAGAGGCTGATATGCACGCATATGTGTTAAAGTCCCCCTAGACACGCCTATACTGAAATTTATTAACATTGGCCACCACAAGAAAAATTAATTTTATGAACGATAGATATATTTTGTAATAACTGTGGAGTGCTGGGTAACAACATCATCAATTACCCGACTACTTAGACCACGGAATGCAAATCAGCATAGATGTTCTCTACAACGAAGTCGTTAATCACACGAAGAAAAACACAAAGTAGAGATCCACTAGAACAACACAGAGGAAAATGGGAAACACTCAGCTACTCCAAACGATCAAAACAATACAAGCGATCGGGAAACAGAAATGAACCATGTATTAGTGTCAAGTTATTAGAAGCATCTACGGGTAAATTCCTTGACTCCAAAATCTTAAAATATTGAAAAAGTTCCAACGATATCGAATCCATAGAAAGCTGTAAACAAAATTATAAGATCCTCTCAGTCAAACACAGGAGATACCGCTCGATCCTCTTAAGAAACCAATAACTACAAGTTTGGAAACTCGATCACCATGGCAGGTACACGAAGTACCAAAGAATAATAAATGTCTCGAATTATTAAATATGAAAAATTTTGGAAATATCTTCCAAGCTGAGTGCTCCCGTAGAATGGAGTTTTTACTCAAAAAAAATCTTGTACAGTGCCCTACCATATAACACCCCCTAGTTTGGCCCTATACATTCTACTAGTGCATACACTAGCCACATAGAGGATATGATAACTAACTTCTCGATCCCAGGAGAAAGTGTAATATCATCCAGTCAGCTAACCGCCTCCCACCACCACTGAGAAGCACAACTATATCCAACTAGAAAATCTCCCAAATATTAAAAATACTAAAATTAATTTACGTGGTGAAGAGAAAACGACCCTTACTGCTAGTGCCCCCCCTAAAAGATCTAGATAATCTTCCATATATAGAAACCTCCTCTAGTGATAAAATCCAAAACTTGAATATTCCTAGTACCGCTTTAAGTAATAAAAATTGTAAAACATTTAATATTCCATTAGTGCACTTACTAGTGATCTCTCGCCATTATGCCTCGGCTTCCACTCCTATTCCTACAAAAGAGGTCTGCATCAAACAAGAGCATTCCTCCATACAACCCTCAACACTCTCACACCCAGATTTCAGTGACCCAAATGTACACCCCATCCCTCTTTCCAAGCCCTCTTCTTCCCCTCCAAACCTTCCAAGTAATGGTAGGGGAAAAACACTTTTTACACCACTTAGGCCCCTCTTCAAAATGCTCTCTCACTCTTGGATGGAAATGGGCCTGCAAGATCATGCACTATCATTCTCGATGACTGTGGAGGGAGAGGAAGTTAATATAGTAGTTCGAAACACGGCATTCATAGCCAGTGGTGGATCCAGTATTTCAAGGTTGTCGGTGCTCCCTTAGCTATTGTGGTGGATAAAAATTTTTAACAAAGGAGCGTCAAAATATAAAGAAGTATATATAGACACGCTTGTACGCGATTTTACTTCTTTATATTTTGACGCTAATATTAGATCACAAATTTAACATTTGTTAAAAAAAAAAGACAATCATATTTATGCACGATAATAAAAAAATTCAATAAGAAAAATTACAACAAAGTTTATCATGGATAATGATGAAAAAAAGTTAGAAAAGGCTACTAGCAAAAGAGAAAAAGCAACAATCTGCATGGGAGAAAAACTAAAATGAAGTCCAATTAGAATATTTAAGTAAGAGAAGAGCTAATTTTTAAATAAAATAATGTCTTTAGAGGGGATCGAACCTCTGGCAAAGTGATAAAAAGATTAAATTTTAGCACCCACTCTAAACCACTATGCCAATTAATTCGTTATTTCTATGGGTGCTTTCTAATATAATATATACAATTCCTCTTTCTATATATATATATATATATATATA